CGCTTTGTCTCGCCCCTATTACAAAAAAAAGTGAATCATGAAAAAAATAGCAAAAATAAATCAATAAACATACTGATGATGTTGTAGTTTTTTTTTGTGGTTGTTTGCAGCAAGTCATAACTTCAAAGAAAATAAAAATAAAAAAGGTATGGGACCTGGCTTCAGGGACCCAGCAGAGATTACAACAAAGAGTATTCTATTCTACCCTATCGGGTCCTTCTTTGACCCTCTTTTTTTTTTTTTTTTCCATGATTCCAATGTATTTATTATGTTTTCTTTCGTGTAATTGACTTTTCCATGCCATTTCTTTCAGGTGTTTGCGCCACCTGGCAATTTCGCATTAGGTGTTCTCCTTCGTGTGCCCACCTGTGAGTTCGACACAGAAGGTATGTAGGTAAATCAGAAAAACAAATACACATATTTACATATACATATAATGCTTCCTTTTTTTTTCTTTTGTTTATTTTCATTTTTTTTTCTTCACAGTAATTCTCTACTTTATTTTCTTCTTTCATGCCTTGATACATAACTCTCAGACTCCTGTTTCTTTTTCATCTTCACTGCAAAGGAAAAAAAAAGATATGGAGGGCACATCCGGCATATTTCTGCGAATGGGGGTGCAACAACCGTGTTTTCTTCCAGTGTGATCAAATAATCAAAGGGGGAAAGAATGTATTAGGGTTGTCTTCTTGGTTGTTGTTTGGGTTTTACCGGAGTATCAGTTGAAAAAAGAAGCGAGTGAGGGGACAAAAAAAAAATAATGAGAGATATTAAACAACTCAAAAAGAAAAACCAAACGAAAACGAAAAAAAACATATATTTTTTTTTTCGTTTTTTTTTTCTCCCTCTTTTCGTCAAGCCTCAGCAGGCAGAGAATGCTTCCGCCGAGCGATACAGCGGCCAACACGCTCTTTGAGACCAAAGCTGTGCTCCGCCGCAAGCAGCCACTGCCACATGGATCCAAGGAGCAGCAGCAGCAGCGGCCACAGTAGATTTGCACGCGCCCCGTAGAGAGCTCCCATGTTACTCCCAAGCATGTAGTCCACAAACTGCCCAATCTGCAGCAGACCAGCAACACACGCCAACAGAAGTGCGTCAGCTGCGCTCCAGGACGCAAAAAAGGAACAGCGAGGGTACATGACGCCATAGGCAATGGGGGCGATGCCAATGGTAAGAATACATGTGAGTAAAAAGAACCAGTTTGTCTCGCCAAGCTCCAACAAACTTATCTCTCGGTCATCAGGCTGAACCACAGACGCCAAACCCGTCACACTGTAGCGGATACAGGGGAGAGCCCATGCAGGTATTAGACACCCAGCGATAAAGACAAAATTGAATATTCGAAGAAATAAACGTTTTTTCCAATTGGTATCTTTCTTTCGCTTGATCTCTTGGTTTTCCCCTTCTTCTTCTTCCTCTTCTTTTCCCTCAACAACTTCGGGTGTCTCAGGATCGAATGGTCCTTTCGTTTTAGAATTCACACGAAGCGATGTATTGCGACGCCACACTGTTGTGGCGTAGTTGCCAACGAGAATAGACAGAATCGTTGATGAGAGAAACGCGTAAAACCCAGGAAGAATCTCAACTTCTGCAATTCCCTCTATCTGCAGTCCTGCCGACATAACAAGCATGGCATATGAATCAAGGAAGGAAAACTTACCAAAGTAGTCAATAACTCTCAAGAGAACCAGGTCTGGTTTCTCTAGAATAAGCGTACACACAATAATGGCCGCCAACTTGATGTAGGGATACACACCGCTGAATGAAAACACAAGGATTCCAAATGCATATACACCAGCCTGAAACATATTCTTGGTAGATTCCATAAGAGAGAAGGACATGAAGTGCATCTCGCCACCAACTGTCAAAGTAGCAGCAGTGGTGGCGTTTGACCACGTAAAACCAAATGCGGTTAAAGCACACATTCCCATTAAGAGAAGATCTTCAATTAAAACACGTTTCAAGGACACTTTAACACCCTCTTTTGTGGTAACTGATGTGCGCTGGTAGCGCCAGATAGTGTATACAACAGTGCCGGCAATAAGAATTACAACCACAATTATCATGCACACCAAAAGAGGAGTGGGTGGAACCGTATGCGCATCAGCCAGTTCCATCATGGGGATGTAGAAACGGGTACCTGTAGCATTTATATAACCCAAGATTTCCTCAATAGCGTGGTTTATTAGTGGGGCAGAAAATGGCCCCAAATTGTTTACGATGAGACGATCCCATTCGCCAAGGTTTTTAGTTCGAATATTTCCCAGAATGATACCACCAGAACGCGGCACACTGCAGTAAAAACCATCGGCGTCACACTGAAAATCATTAAAGGAAACTTCCAGAGAAACACTGAAGGGTTGTGGATTATTAACCCCAACGAAAGCACCTTCAATAACCGGAAGGTGCTCCAACAAGTACTCGGCAAGTTTCCCAAGTTCCAACATGTTAAGAATACCCACCAACTTCTCTACAAAGGACTCCAACTCAGTGAAATCGTCGAGTTCGAAAATCAACCCATTGGAAAAATCCAAATTCAAATGCAATGTGGTGCCAGCGTGAAGTGATGCACCAAAGCGAATACCCAAAATTGATGGAGCCTTGTTCATCACATTAACAAGTGTTCGAAACAGCATACTGCCCTCCAATGGTGTGGCGTTAGGGTTAAGTTGGGGATGTGGTTCTGGTGGAGCCAATGTGTGGTTCTGCAACTCCTCCTGAAGAGATTTGATTCCTGAACCACACACAAGGTCTTTCAACTGATCCTGAATTAAACCCTTCATCCTTTCAATAAGTCTCTCAATTAAAGAATTGGGTGGTTGTAACTTTACCTTTCCAATTTTTAGACTGGTGTTACAGGTATTTACAGTACTGTTTACACTGTAACAGGTGTCGTCCACAACCTTGGAGAGAGATATCTGAGAAGGTTCAATAGCCACATCAGAATTCACCAGATAAATTGTATTGCTCATATTCACTGTGACAGCGCATGCAAGATCAGAGGAATTCTTTGTTTCCAGAGACCAGAGCGAGGAGTTGAACGTGCCACTCATCGCACCAATATCCATCTTGGAACATGACAAATTACTTACCTGAACACCTGGGATGACATCTTGCTGAAAGTCAGGCATACGAAAATCAGTGATAAGAAGGGAGCTCCACAAGAGCACAAACGATAGGCACTCTGCAATCATCTGAAGAGAAAAATCCTTGTGCTCTAGTGAATACAATCTTCAAAAATTCAGTTCCCCCCGGTGTTTTGTATACCCTTCAATTTGGTAAATGCAAGAAAAATCTGGTTGGTAAAGAGACAAAACGTGATTGGAATAAATGTCTTCTTTTTAGCTTATTAATTTGTGGTCAACTCTGTGAATTAAAAACAAGGAAAAACAGAAAGGGAGAGGGGGAGGTGCATTCAAAATGATGATATGAATAGCATTAGGGACAGTAAACCTGACAAAAAAAACAAAATAAAAATAGAATACCATAGTTTTAGTTCATATTGGTTTATTTGATAGGATACTTTGGCAAAATAACTAAAGATAAAGATTGTATTACGCCTAATTTTTTCTTTCTCAAAATAATATTTGCACATATAATTACGACGCATAAAATTCATACACACTGGGTTTGGAAAATCCAGTGTGGACCTTTCTTTTTTTCTTTATCTATATATCTACATATATAAGTGATTCCACGGGCGACCATGTAGTCGCTTCACAAAAGCCCAAAGTCGGATGCAAGGTGTCAAGCACGTCTTTCTTGTTAGGTTTGACCGAGTGTGCTTTAGTCTTTGCAATTTTTTTTTTTTCCCTCTCTGGCAAATGCCAAAATGGCGCAGTTTGGGAAACAATTTATGTGTACAAAACATAAAATCAAAACAGATTTATTAGGCGTATACATAACAGCAAAAAAAAACACACAAAAACAACAAGATGCGAAAAAAAAAAAAAACGACAAATGAAATGAGCACTCGGATATTACACACCATATTATGTATATATATATATATGTATATATGTATTTATTTATTTATATTGAGAACGCCAAGAACCCAAGAATGGTAAAGATGCAATTCAGTTGTGTGTTATGCGCGCGTTCATTTGCAGTGCTGTTAGCCACCACACTCCCTTTCATGGGCAAACAATAGGCAAACAGACGCATGAATACAAACACAATCGCTGCACTGGAGATAGCGCAATGATTAAATAACTTAGCTTCTTTTACCTTAAGTCTGCTCCACTAACCGAGCTCCCTGCACACGAGGAATTTGATTCAGAAGTGACCGTCACAACACCAGGGAGGTCCACATGGCATTCACCCTTGCATTCGTCCTCCTCTGACACATAGGCCGCCCTACCAAATACGACATGTGATGATAGTCTGCGTAGTAATGTGATGCTTTCTTTGAGTCGATAGTTGCAAGTATGCAAAGAGGCTACTTTGTCAAGGTGAGGCGGGAAATGTGATGTGGAGCCATCCGCACCGTCCACCATCCATATTTCGTCAATAGTAGTCTTGCTGGTGTAATTGGAAGGAGGTTCTCCTCCACCTTCACTTTCCCTCTCCTCAGCCTCCATATCCATACTCGGTTGTTGTTGTTCTTCTCCTTGCTCATCTGGAACGTTCCGAGAACCGGCGATACTGTTTTGTTCTTCGTTCCCACTTGTGTGTGCAACCATAGCCCGCAATCGTTTTATTTGACTATTTGGTATAAGTGCGCAAGCATCGACTACGCTAGGATATGTCGGTGTTACGTGTGGCAGAGCCTCAGGATGTTGAGTGCGCCTCAGCCAATTAGGCAGACGATCAGCGTCATAATTCACAACTTCCCTGCGGCGTGTATCCCTTAAATTTCTGAGTATTACAATAAGGGTCACCAATAAGCCGAAGAAGATCAGACTAGCTAAAGCCACAGCGATGATTATCAGAACCATGTCATGTACATGTGAAAGGGTTCGTATGTGTATGTGTATATGTAGGTCTCACACCTATGAAAAGATTAAAAAAAAAATATATATTAGATTGAAGAGAGAGTACAAGTTGATGTGTATAGTTGAAAGAAACTTAATTCCCCACCCAGATACAATAATATCCATCTTTTTTTTTTTACTTCTTTTTTTTTTCCTTTCCTTTCTTTCTTTTTCTCCCTGAGAGCATTAGAGCATACCCTCCTTTATGTTCTTTTAATGTCATCAAAATCCGAAAACCTCACGTCGGTACTGCTTCTGGTGACTTTGCTTTTGCCTTGTCCGCCTGATCTGCGCCCTCAGGCGCTGCAAAACCACTTCTCGATTAGCCTTAAGAACCCGAAGCTCCACCAAACGCTTGTTTACCTCTTTCTGACGCTGGGTAAGGTTCCTCCTACGAGATTGCAATTGCTCGAGCAGAATATTTACCTTATCCACTTCTGCACGTAGTGCTTCCCGGTTACCCAACACACCTTCTCGAAGCAAGAGGGTTTCCTGCTCTGCTGCTTTCTGGTTAGACGTCTCTAGAATAGTTTTGTGCCTCTCCCCTACACCCATTTGCATAGCTTGTAACATGTTTCGCAATGTCCGTGTCTCGTGCTCGAGAAACACGATGCGTCCATCAAGGTGATTTCCACGCTCCTGTAACTCCTCTCGAGTTAGTGAAGATTGTAGAATACACTTCGCATGCAGAACCTCCGGGAAAGAGGAATTGCTGGATTCAACATGCAGTTCTTCCTTCCCCGACTCACCTGTTGGAGCAAGTTTTCGAGTCATAGACTCCATGATAGTCTGGTAACGAGACTTCAAATGCCGCAACTGTTCTTGGCATCGTCGGAGATCCGTCTGCAACTCACCTTGTGCCTTTTGCTCAAGGTGGAGCTCTACCAATGAGTTCTTAATGTCTGTCAGAACTGCCTCCTGCGCCACGGACGCCTGCCCACGGAGAATATCCTCAACACTCGCCACCCCACGCATCATCTCCAGATGCGACTCGGCTACCTGACGAACGGAGCGCAACTGAAACATCACCTCAGAGTACTTAAGAAGAGCCGACTGCTTCTCTTTTACCACACACGCGCCGTCTTCTTGAAGAGCAGTCAACTCCTTCCCTCGTATGAGAGCAGCGTCCTCGAGAAGGGTTAGGTTCGCCCTTGCATCGTGCAGGAGTTTGAGATGGGCATTAAGGGCGCAACGCAGAGGTGTGATCTCACGTCGAAGAACAAATCCCTCCCGCGTTAGTCGGTGAAGTTCCGCCCGTAGATCCCGCACAGTTCCCTCCATAAGGTCTCGCTCATGTTTATTTCCCTCGCGAACAACGACACGTGTTTGGGACAGGTTCTGCTCTGCTGTCAGCAGCCGTTCTTCTATAGCTTGAAGGTGGCCTAGGCATTCTTCTCGAGACTGCTGCTCAGTAGCATAGTCGCGCTCAGCAGCAAGAATAGATTTTTTCGTCTTCATAATGTTATTATTCAATTCATCCGCCACGCGGCCCTCTCTCTGCATATTAGAGAAGCAATCCATCATCGCCTTATGCATATGATGAAGTTGAGCATCCAACTGTTGAAGGGTACGTTGAAGTGATACCCTTGTGTTCTCTAAACAACGAAGCGACTGAAGGTTATTATCAGTTTTTGACTCTTTCATAAGACTATCAAGTTCTCTCGAACGCAAAAGAAGCTCCTGAAGTCGTATGTAGCGTTCATCACGAAGAGCTAAGGCATTGTTCTGGGATCGTGTTAGCTCTCGCTTTACGTCTAACTGAGACGCAAGCTGTCGTTGCATTGCTGCTGCTGCGTTTTCGTGTTGTAGTGTCTCTGTAGAAAGACTATGAAATCGTTCCATGAGTTTTGCTTGTTTTCTTCTGCATTCTTCAGTTTTATTCGATACAGTTTTTAGTTGTGCTTTTTCCTTCTTAAGTTTCTCTTGCATCTCCATCAGCACATTACGTCGCGCTTCTAATAATTGTTTCACATCAGTGTATATCTTTGCATTCGTTGCTGTTTGTGACTCACACACCATAACTGCCTGTTGCACATGCGACACTGCAAGCAACGACTCTGCCTTATCCTGTTTCCCTTTTTCGATATCATACCGTAATGCGGTCAACTCTCTCTGTACCCGTGCTGTCTCCTCCTTTTCCTGCAGCAACACCTTCTGCGAGGTACGGACCTCATTATGCACCTTTACTAGTGAAGCCTGTACCTGTTGCAGGCGCCGCTGCCGTTTTTCCACCTCTTCCTGTGTCTCTTGTACACTCTTGCGGGAGCCATGTATCATTGACATCTCCAGTGCCGCCCGCTCCAGCGCCTCTGACAGTTTCTGTTCATCTTCCAGTGCAGTTGCCTTGGTTTGCAGCACACATGTGGTGCTTTGCAGCAATGCACATACCTCCTCGTGGCGTCGTCGCAGTTGCTGCATCTCTGCACGGTAATGAGACTCCTCTCGCTGAAGTTCCTGCAATTTATTCTCAGCCTCACGTAGGCGCTCCTGCTCCTCACTTGTAGCACGCTCATCAGAATCTATGTGGCGTCTTACTTGCGCCAAGTTCTCTCGCAAGAGGGCAACGACCCCTCGCTGCGAGTCTATATCCGCAGCTCTCTTCTGGACATCATCACCTACATGTTCAATGCGGGCCTGCAAGTTGCGATTGGCTTCATTTAGTAAACGTGCTGGCCAAGACATCAACAGTGAATTAATCAAAAAGAAAGAAATAATTATTTCTCACTGTCGCCTGTGCAACAATGGCGATCAAAATAAAATAAAAAAAGAGAGAGAGAAAAGGAGATTGGTAGAATTCCAAGCTAGCACACTATGTCACGCACTTAATCAAGCAACCCACAAAGAAGAAATATAAATATACAAATATATATATATATATATATATATCCTCCAGAGATATTCACCTATCCATCATATCTGTAACAATTGCTTCTGCCGTGCTCCATCACGCTTTTTCCATTCTGCATACGCAGCTCGATCCTGTGGATGATCTGTGTCGTCTGGCAATGCTGTGGTCATCTCTGTGTCAAGGTTTGTCCCGACGGTCTCCTCCACATCGTTGTTGCTGCTGCGCGGACGCTTTAACGACACTGACCGCACAGAGGCCACATGTGTTGATGTGCTTGCGTGGGCAATATACGGTATCGAGAATTCATCATCGCTGTCCGCAGCAGTAACAGCAGGAACAACTGGTGAGGGATGTGCTAAAGCCTTTGATTTGTCAAAAACAGCGAGCGTCTCTTCTTCTTCCTCCTCAGGGACTACATTAGTGCGCACAACAACGGTTTTACTGTTGTGCATGATGCTCTCTCACCAGGGAAGGTCAAAGATGAGGACACACACACACCAGTTCAGCAAAAAACAAAAAGCAAAATAAAATAAATAAATCAGAAAATAAATAGAAAATCAAATCAAAAAAAAAAAATGCAAAAGCAAAATAACACTTGATTACAGAAAAACAGTGCAGGGATGAAGGCATTTCCATAAAAGGAAAAAAAAAACTCTTTAGTAGAGGAAAAAAAACCTCTACCTCAGCATTCACATTATCAAGTCGAATCAGTTTACTATTGTCGTTCCCTTTTTTTTTGTTCCATGTCGCAGAAATTTGCCATTCCCAAGGTACGTTTCTTCCTAGTAAGGCCCAAATAAAATGGAAAAGAATGCAGCGCATGCTTGAATTGCATGCTGACACTCTCTCTTCCTCTCAGTCTTAATTTTCTTTCTTCGTTTGGTGCTCGTAATCATTCTATATAACTCCCACCCACACCACCCAAAGCACCACTACACCACCCCAAGGAAACCAAAAGAAAAGATAGAGAACATTCATTCACGGTGCATATTTTCCTTCTTTTTTTTTCTGCTTTTCGTCCATAGGCAATACTTAAAATAGCGTACTCACAAACAGACAGAAGGAAATGGAGAAGTACACGCATTGTAAAGAATGTGTACATTTCACCAGTTGAGTCGCTCCTTCTTGTGAAAGAAACCGCCGGTAGGTCCGTCAGGAGGCAATGTGGCAAGATAGACACTCGTCTCGGCGCCCTCGTCCGGTTCCATTGGCGCCTCTGCGGAGTTGTGCGACATGTCTGTGCGCACATATCCGGGATACGCCGCATTGACTTTAGCCGCCTTCGCGACGCCGTCCTGTGTTGACAACCAGTGAGCGAGATTGTGGGTGTACATGTTCAGTGCCGCTTTGGTGCACTTGTAGCTTGTGAAGAGTGGACTGGCATACTTGTTTTGCGGCCGCTCCACCGTTTCGTGTGTGCCAAGTGGTGTACTGACATTCACAATACGGGGGGCATCGGATGTGCGTAGCATGAGCGGCAGAAAGGCGTTAGTGACTGTGACAACTGAGTAAAAGTTAACTTCGAACTCCTCCCGCATACGTGCAACATCCAGTGGCAAGATGTTGTTGTCGTAATCCATCATGGCGGCATTATTGATGAGTGCGTCGAGTCTCTTATGCTGCGACTCCACTTCGCGGAGGGCAGCAGCAACAGAGTCGCTATCGGTGATGGTGACAATCAGCAGATGAGTGTCAAGGCCTTCAGCACGCAGAGACGCCACTGCAGCCTCACCGCTGGTTTTATCACGCGCCGCCATCAATACACGGTAGCCACACTGTGCCAACTTGCGGGAGGTGGCAAACCCAATACCGCGATTGGCACCAGTTACCAACGCCACTCGATTCTCAGTCATGGAAGAAGAAATGCAAGAAACCAAATGCAATACGAATTGTATACACTACAACTAATAATAGAGAGGCAAATAGGAAATAACATAAGGGAAAAAAAAATAATACAGTTTCCACTAATTATATTTTGTTGGTGGTTGCATATTGCCAGTGTCCCCTCTTGGAGAAACCCCCATAAAAAAGCGGGATTTGGTTTTGATGCGCAAATACACGTTGAAATAAATAAATAAAAAATCAGCTAACAACAATAAAAAAAATAAAGACGAAAGGAAAGAGTTCCTTTTTATATATGCATCTGTAAAAAAGCTGATTTTTGACGTGAGGCTATACCGTCATAGGGGTCTCCCAACTGCTCCGTTCTTCTTCCCAGACCCTCTGTTTCTCATCTCTGTTCTGTTCTGTTCTGTTTTTTTTTTTTTTTCCCTCTCTTCAAGCCAAAGCCTGAAAATCCGCTCATTTCCACAGTACATTGTGTACTGCGAGAATAACACGCTGCAGTTGGTGTAGCCGGCCTTCCTCACGCCGCACCGCCTCGCGGCGACTCCAGTACTCACGCAGCAATTTCTCGTACGCCTGTGTCTCGTCCTCTGCCATTGCGGGGCAAACGGCCCAACACAACCACGGCTACCAGTAAAAAAATAAAACAAAGGTGGATTACAAGAACAGAACAAAGAGAGTGATTCGATACAAGGTGCAAAAATACATAAAAACAGTACATACCGGAAAAAAAAGGATGGGATCCCAAATTAAAATTCAACCAAATGTAAGTAAATGAGGTAAATCAAAGTAAAGAACACCTCATTACGGTTCAGTACTGCACACATTTAAACGCTCTCCAAGCTAATACGGTGCGCAATAATAATAATAATAATAATAATAATAATAATAAATACAAAAAGGTAATCGGCAAACAACACATCACAACATGTCTTTAACTCCCTCCAATAACTCTAACACTCCCACACACACAAAAAAAATACAGCAACACAGCAACAAATAAAACAGAAGACAATCAACTACCAATGCTCAAAAAGTAAAAAAAGAAAAGGTCTGAAAAACACAAAAAAAAGGAAGTAGGAACAAATTAAAACACAATATATGTCGTCGCTATTGTAACACGTTTTCCCCCTTTTGGACTATATGAAAACAGAAGGGATAGAACAAAAAAGTTCCACATGCAGTTTCTCCTCCCCCACCTTCACCTTCAATGCATATTGTTCTTCTCATTCTCTAAATGAATCCGTTGCAGCTAAGCCAATGACGCAGTGCAATGTACTCCCGCAGGCGACAGTCACCGTATCGCATGTAATCCAGACCGCTACCACCCACAGCAAACGCCTCCACATCCGTCGTACACTCATTGGGGACGCACCCCATCACAATCGACCATAGTGTCCAGTAGAGGTGCGCCGCGAGCATGCCCAGCAGCAACTCGCCCAGCTGTGCCTTACTGAGGGAGACGTCGCTGACAGGAACACCGTCGCGCGTTGCAAAGTACCGCCGCACCGCCAACAGCGCAGCAGCGCCGATGTCTGTTGCGTCCTCCTCCTCGTCGTTGTTGTTGTTCTTGTCGTTTTTGTCTGCAGTGCCGCGCAGCCATGCGTCGTGTATGAGCTCCGGCATGCGCGGGTACTCCTCGCCCAGTCCGCGCCATGCCTCTGCCTTCGCCGCCGGCGGAAACACGAAGAGGTATTTGATGAACCCGCGTCCACCAACCTCCGTGCCGCGCGTGTAGTCGTAGTCCAGCTCGCACAGTGTGTTCCCAAGGTCAACGCAACGGTAGTTCGCGTCAGCATACTCAAAGTCAATGAAAAGATATCCGTTGCGTTCCACGAGGTTCTTACTCTTACCTTTGCGCGTCAAGTAGCGGGTCGACAGTGCAGTGCTCTCCGCCGCAACCTCGTCCGTCACTTCATCGTCGCTGCTCATCAGTCCGTCGTTCTCAAGCATCCCACCCGGCACCTTCCGCCGCGACAACAGAATGTTGCCCGGGTTCAAGTCATTGTGCGAGAATACAATAGGGATATCCAGCCGCTGTAGCTCCTCACGCACAAACATGATTTCGCCTGTCAGCCAGTCTACCAACGACTGCCGGTGTTCCTCTACCACGTGGGGGTACATTAAGCGCAGCAGGCGAAAACTCACACGTTCGAACGACGTGGGACACACGCTCTCCAACGTCTTTTCACGCAACATCGTGCTGTAGTACCCCTGACGTCCTTCCAGCGCAGAGACAAGCTTATTGTCATCCCCGTACTGATTCTTTTCGGCGCCGGGAAATCGATCCTTATTCATGTTCTCCGGTAGAAACGGCGCCGCATCCAACCCATGCATGCGACACAATCCCTCATATATATCGGCCAACAGCGCCGGAGATCTCAGCAACATTTCAGTCGTACATGTGTATATACCATCCATAAACTCCTCCACACGCCCCCAGTGAAAGCTATGCAACACAGCGGGACTTAGCTCAGCCTTGCTCATCAGCCGCATCGCCTTTGTGTCGCGCGCACGATCAATTACCTCCCCACCCCCGTCACCATACACCCGCAGCAGAATCGTCTTTCCGGGGAACGACGCGTGCCCCAGGCGGTACACGTGATTACTATTCCCACCAGAGAGCCGTGTCACACTCAGCTCATCCGCCAGCCACTGCGAGACACCCATTGGGTCGTTTAGCGCCCCTCGCGAGTCCTCAAGACACGTGCACCCCACATGCGGGTTGGACGTCCCCATTGCCTTGTAGTAGTTCTTGGGGTCGAAGAGATGGCGTAGCGGACACCAGTCCTCGTGCCCACGCATGTTGCAAAACTTTCCTCCATCACCGTCGACCATAGCAGAAGTGCCGTCAGCGGATTTAGCGTGTATTTCCGCAGACTTTCTCGTCGCCACGCGGTACAGCGAGCGGCAAAGGCGATATATCAGTCCATCTAGCTCCACCTGCTCCTCCGTCCTGTTGGCAAGTGTGATGATGCTGTCGAGCGACTCTGCAGAGACCCATGTCAGGGCAGGCGAAGTCTGGGTGGGTACGGACTGTATGTCTGTTGCACATTCCTTCATCGGCGAGCACGGTGGAGTCTTTGACGAGCGGCGAATAGCTGCACGGAGTGGCAGCTCACCCAGCGGATACTGCACGCCAGGAGTCATGTAAACAAATAAGCAAGCAATACTTTCTTCAAATAAGAAAAGGGAATGACAAAAAACGATTTAATGGAAGAGCCAACGAGAGAGACATACACACATAGAAAGAGAGAGAGAGAGAGAGGTACAAAAACACATGAAGAAATTTGGGAAACTGATCTGAGGAATTGTTATTCGAAAGTAAAACTAAAGACCAAAACAGCCGTTTGTCTGAAAAAAGAAAGAAAAAATTCCGTTTGTCCAGAAAGGAATTTACATTCACCCGGGTCCAAAGTATAGTTATTAAGATTAGGGTTGCTCGATAGCGTCATTGATTTTCTTTTTCACCACTTTCCCACAAAGTGATGATAACGAGAAAATTTTTTTTTGGTCAGAATATCCCCAATCGTCAACTTGGAGATTGACTGTTTAGCTGTATTTTCATGGAGAGGAAGAGGAAGAGGTGGAGGAAGAGGTGGAGGGGGGTACGGGATGCAGTTGTGGGGCTGGAGAAGTCATAGGTAAGCGACATTCAACCCTATCACAATATTAGTCGACAATTTTAAGAAAACCATGCTTTAATTGCCCTAGTTCACGCCACAGAGAAATGAATCCAGGTATAAAGGTGATCATCGATAAAGTGATATATCAGCACTGCCTTAATAAAGAATAGTTTTATTTTCCTTTGTTTAAAGAAATATCCCCCACATCGTTCCCACAGCAATCTCCCGTATTTATCGAAGAAAAGAGGTACAGGTGTCTATGGTATTGGAAACTGTACCCAAAACGTCTATGCAATTAAGATAAAACCTCTTAAACTCAAAAAACGTTGACAATGTCACATCTCCTATGAATAAATGTACCCGGAGATAAGATTATCACGCATTGCTTCTCACACTACTTGTGATGAATTTAACATTTATGTACGTCTCTTACATCTCTATTTGTGTGGGGTAGAAGTGAGGCCATACATGTCTGAATCAGAAAGAGAAGCATGGTAAACCAGTGTTCCTTCAATTGATGTTCATTATTGAATTTGGTGTGTTGGATTTCTCAGCCGAGGTGATGATGTCATAGGTAACTTTCGTTTTTTTTTTTTTTTTTTTTTTGATTTATCTATAAAAAAAAAAAAGAGCAAAAGAAAATATGGAAAAAATGAGTAAAGTGCTATCAAGTTGAGACCTAACTAAACCCCAAAGAATGCATTAAGTATAGGCGTAAACATCAGATATATGAAAGAGCAATCACGTGAGAAATAATATGGAGGAGAGGGCATAGACGCACAAAGATAGCCCCCCAATCCTCTTTACACTCGTGAAATAGGAAAGTTCCTACAGGTATTCAAACTTTTTTATTGTTGTATTCCTCATAGGTCGTCCCGAAGTTCCAGGAAATCATACATTGGGTTGGTATTCTCAATGCCAACGTTTGTCATCCACTTCACGAGATCTATAACGCTGGAACCCTCAATAAGAGATGAAAGACTACCAACTGAGCTGCATTTCTCCTGATTGGCCGGAGATGCCAAACAGTAGTTTGCCAACCGTTCCAGAAGAACCCGACCAGCATCATAGTAAACATTTTTGTATGAAGTTTTCAGCAGGTCATCGGCCTTCTTTCGTAGTTTGTTCGCAGTGCGTTTTCCGTGTTGCATGAAAAAGTTTTCCACAACGTAAGCAATTGCATCACAGATATCAGCCTGCGGCTTCCCTGAGACATCAAGCCCTCGTTTTTGGACTACCTCCGTACAGAGAGCCTTGGCATTATCTTTCCATACTTCCCAAAAGGATGCGTTGGGGATCTCGCGCTTACCCTGCTCACTGACGGGTTTCTTATCGCGATTTTGAAACGCAACACGCACAAAGTCAGCCTTTTCTTGACATCCAGGGCAACTGAGATCACGTTCTTCTAGAAAATGTCGGAGGTCTTTGATCTTCATCCGTTTAAAGTCCTGCTCTGTCATCTCTGCCATCGCGGTGAGGCAGACAAGGTAGAATAGCAGGACCAAAAGCAACAATAGAGGTCTTAAGCCAATATCACGCATTGAGTAAATACTCATTTTCTGCTTCCCTAGAAAAATCCTTGTATGCCTTTGAATAAAATTAGAAAAAGAAAAAAAAATAATAAATGGACGTAATCACGTGAATGTACCTCTCTCTTTCTTTCTTTCTTTCTTTCTTCACTTAATTGCACGTAGATGTGTGCGCCTGTATAAGTCTTCATAGCCCCTAAAACGGCTATTTTTCTGTTTTTCATCATTATATATAGTAGATTTTGCTTATGATTTAATCCGTTTGTTTAACAGGAACTGAGCCCAACCCTCCTCGAAAAAACATGCACGCTGTGCACTTAACACGAGTCAGAGTCGGTATCACTGTCGTCTGCACGATGACGTTTTTGACCCCTACCGTTGTGCTCTTTCGTCGAAACTGCATTACGGCGATGACGGCGGTGCAACTCATCAAACACCTGCCTACTCACTCCCTCAAATTCCTCCGGGGCAAAGTATGATGGACTCACCTCCAGAAGCCAATCATCTGAAACAGCAGTAACAGTGCGGATATACGTGTTGCTAGTGAGTACAAGCTCATTAAACACCACAAACTTTGGTCGACGGTTAAGGAAGGTTGAGGGAAACAGGAGGCACTTAACATCGTCCTTCAGGGTCAGAAACTGGTTCTTTGTGGGTAACGAAAGAGCAACTTTAGTAAAATACCCACGAAGAATGGCACGACGAATCTCATTTGCAAATTCATCATTTGAACTTGCGTCACCTTGTGTATGATTCTGTGAGGCAGAGTAAGTGCTACAAATCTTGCAGTTTAGACGGCGCATAACACCAAGCAGTTGTCGATAAATGCTAACAGCTTGTTTCATAACGCGAGGATTCAAGTAGTTCTCAGTGGCCCAGGACGCACTCTGCTGGTTAGTATCGTGAAATGCATTAAAAGTATTTAACAGCGCAACATGATCACCTGTAGGGTGGTAAAATTGCTCCCGACATCGCATCGCATGTCCACGCTGATTGTTGGGCGGATTTATAAAAGGACTCTGTACAGAAAGCATTGCACAAATACGTGCAATATCGTCTGAACATCCGTATTCAGGGCTGTGGAGTAACATTGCAGCCATTTCAGGTTCCAATGGTAATTCTGCCATCAGTCTACCAAATTCTGTCATATCTCCATCGTCATTTATAGCGCCCAAATAATTAAGCAATTCCAATGCTCGCATAAGGGTCTCTGGTGCAGGTGGTTCCACAAAATCAAAATTTACAAGATCCTCTACACCCATCATCTTCATGTGTAGTACAACCGAGCCTAAATTACAACGAAGAATTTCTGGGTAAGTCTGTGGCTGTAGCAATGTATCGAATGATTTGGCCGTGTACAAGCGGAAACATTTACCTGGTTTAGTACGACCTGCACGACCACAACGTTGTCGGGCACTTGCTTGACTGATGGGTGTCACTAAAAGGGACTCCACCCGCAGCTTTGGATTGTACACCTTCTGCTTTGAGAAACCACTGTCAACGACAAAAACGACACCATCAATGGTAAGAGATGTTTCGGCCACGTTAGTTGCCACAACAATTTTACGTGTACCAGGAGGAACCTTTTGAAACACCCTTCGCTGCTGTTGTGGGGGTAAAGCAGAGTAGAGGGGAAGTACCACCACTGGACCTTTATGACAATTAGCACTACTGTGCTCCGCCATGCGCATACCATTCTGTAGTCGCTCCACCGCCTGCTCAATCTCATCCTCACCGGTGAGAAATATGAGAATATCTCCTTCACCCTCATAAAGGTGAATCTGCGTCGCCGTACGTATCGCCGCCTCCACGTAATTTGACTCTGGAAGGCGAGAATAATACACCTCCACACCGTACATACGTCCGGCGATGTGGACTAGGGGTGCTTCTGGAAAATACACCTGAAAGCGTCGCTCCTCCAATGTTGCAGACATCACCACAACTCGCAGGTCTGGCCTCCGTGGGAGCAACTCCTTCACCACACCAATTAAAACATCTGTGTGAACTGTACGCTCGTGTGCTTCATCAAGGATAATAACACTGTAACGTCGTAAAAGAGGATCACCCATGGCTTCACGTAGAAGCATACCATCGGTCAAATACTTTAACTTTGTTCGTTCGCTACTCATGTCATCAAAACGGATGGAGTAACCCACTTCCTCACCAAGAGTTACATCAAGCTCTTCCGCAACACGCTCACTTACACTGGTGGCAGCAACACGGCGTGGTTGTGTACATGCAATTGCGTTTTCGGGATTCATCTCCAATACGAACTGTGGCACCTGCGTAGTTTTGCCGCTACCTGTTTCGCCCACCAGCAACAGCGTCTGATAGCGAGCCACAAGACCTTGAATTTTCTCTTTAGCAGCAAAAACCGGAAGTTTTTCGCGCCCGCGCAGCAAAGAATGGTAACGGGAACTGAAAGCACGCCCTGTGTACGGATTAATGTCGGCACTTTCCATCTTGCCCCAAACCTCTCTTCAAAGCAAATCAATAAAAAAAAAAAACAAGGAAATTACCCATCAAGAAGACAAAACACACGGGACCAATCTTAGAAACAAAAAAAAAAAAAAAACGTCTACAATGGAAAACCAAAACCACCACAAATTGTAACTCCTGAACATAAGAAAGCAAATATAGAAAAAGCATCAAAAACAAAAAAAAGGAAGTAGGCACAAATTAAAAGACAATATATGTCGTCGCTATTGTAACACGTTTTCCCCCTTTTGGACTATATGAAAACAGAAGGGATAGAACAAAAAAGTTCCACATGCAGTTTCTCCTCCCCCACCTTCACCTTCAATGCATATTGTTCTTCTCATTCTCTAAATGAATCCGTTGCAGCTAAGCCAATGACGCAGTGCAATGTACTCCCGCAGGCGACAGTCACCGTATCGCATGTAATCCAGACCGCTACCACCCACAGCAAACGCCTCCACATCCGTCGTACACTCATTGGGGACGCACCCCATCACAATCGACCATAGTGTCCAGTAGAGGTGCGCCGCGAGCATGCCCAGCAGCAACTCGCCCAGCTGTGCCTTACTGAGGGAGACGTCGCTGACAGGAACACCGTCGCGCGTTGCAAAGTACCGCCGCACCGCCAACAGCGCAGCAGCGCCGATGTCTGTTGCGTCCTCCTCCTCGTCGTTGTTGTTGTTCTTGTCGTTTTTGTCTGCAGTGCCGCGCAGCCATGCGTCGTGTATGAGCTCCGGCATGCGCGGGTACTCCTCGCCCAGTCCGCGCCATGCCTCTGCCTTCGCCGCCGGCGGAAACACGAAGAGGTATTTGATGAACCCGCGTCCACCAACCTCCGTGCCGCGCGTGTAGTCGTAGTCCAGCTCGCACAGTGTGTTCCCAAGGTCAACGCAACGGTAGTTCGCGTCAGCATACTCAAAGTCAATGAAAAGATATCCGTTGCGTTCCACGAGGTTCTTACTCTTACCTTTGCGCGTCAAGTAGCGGGTCGACAGTGCAGTGCTCTCCGCCGCAACCTCGTCCGTCACTTCATCGTCGCTGCTCATCAGTCCGTCGTTCTCAAGCATCCCACCCGGCACCTTCCGCCGCGACAACAGAATGTTGCCCGGGTTCAAGTCATTGTGCGAGAATACAATAGGGATATCCAGCCGCTGTAGCTCCTCACGCACAAACATGATTTCGCCTGTCAGCCAGTCTACCAACGACTGCCGGTGTTCCTCTACCACGTGGGGGTACATTAAGCGCAGCAAGCGAAAACTCACACGTTCGAACGACGTGGGACACACGCTCTCCAAAGTCTTTTCACGCAACATCGTGCTGTAGTACCCCTGACGTCCTTCCAGCGCAGAGACAAGCTTATTGTCATCCCCGTACTGATTCTTTTCGGCGCCGGGAAATCGATCCTTATTCATGTTCTCCGGTAGAAACGGCGCCGCATCCAACCCATGCATGCGACACAATCCCTCATATATATCGGCCAACAGCGCCGGAGATCTCAGCAACATTTCAGTCGTACATGTGTATATACCATCCATAAACTCCTCCACACGCCCCCAGTGAAAGCTATGCAACACAGCGGGACTTAGCTCAGCCTTGCTCATCAGCCGCATCGCCTTTGTGTCGCGCGCACGATCAATTACCTCCCCACCCCCGTCACCATACACCCGCAGCAGAATCGTCTTTCCGGGGAACGACGCGTGCCCCAGGCGGTACACGTGATTACTATTCCCACCAGAGAGCCGTGTCACACTCAGCTCATCCGCCAGCCACTGCGAGACACCCATTGGGTCGTTTAGCGCCCCTCGCGAGTCCTCAAGACACGTGCACCCCACATGCGGGTTGGACGTCCCCATTGCCTTGTAGTAGTTCTTGGGGTCGAAGAGATGGCGTAGCGGACACCAGTCCTCGTGCCCACGCATGTTGCAAAACCTTCCTCCATCACCGTCGACCATAGCAGAAGTGCCGTCAGCGGATTTAGCGTGTATTTCCGCAGACTTTCTCGTCGCCACGCGGTACAGCGAGCGGCAAAGGCGATATATCAGTCCATCTAGCTCCACCTGCTCCTCCGTCCTGTTGGCAAGTGTGATGATGCTGTCGAGCGACTCTGCAGAGACCCATGAGAGGGCAGGCGAAGTCTGGGTGGGTACGGACTGTATGTCTGTTGCACATTCCTTCATCGGCGAGCACGGTGGAGTCTTTGACGAGCGGCGAATAGCTGCACGGAGTGGCAGCTCACCCAGCGGATACTGCACGCCAGGAGTCATGTAAACAAATAAGCAAGCAATACTTTCTTCAAATAAGAAAAGGGAATGACAAAAAACGATTTAATGGAAGAGCCAACGAGAGAGACATACACATAGAGAGAGAAAGAGAGAGAGAGGTACAAAAACACATGAAGACAGATACACAAGAAGCACATGAAGAATACAAAAAATGTGGATATTACAGGACGGTTGGCAATGTAAGACTGTTTATACTTTGTAGATAAAATATTCAGTTTACATAGCGGGGATTAATGTTGTTGTCCTAGATCCATAAATAAGTGATAAGAAGGCTTCCACTAAAGAACGCCTTTTCTGCATGAATCACAGCAGATACATGGGGAAAAATAAGACGCCAATACATATTAATGGATATGAACCCAATTTTTTTTCCTTGCTGTCCAAACCCCAACCTTTTTTTTTCTCTTTACTTTTCGTCAAAAAAAAGTTGACGTTTTTTTTTTTTTTTTAATTTTTTTTTTTTTTTTGTTGCTCCAGAGGGATGAGAGTAGTCACGATAGTGTACACTAAAGACAAACTGCCGGCTATTCTACAACTGAAAGAGGCCAGAATACTTCTGATGGCCCCTTCCCCTTCTGGAGAACATTTCCTGCTGCTTGTGCAAGACACTACAACGCAACAATCAGATATGCACACAGGTAGAAAGAGAAACCCACAAAGTTGATGTAAATATCTGTTTGTGTAGAACACCAAACCGAGTTTAGATGTCTGATGAAGAAATTTTAAGTGGTAAAAAAAAAAAAAATGTGGACGGGTGGAGTGGGACCACTTACAATTGCACAGACAGACATATGCTAAATACGAGAGAAGTGCAATTCATTCTAAATCATGACCACTTGTATACGGTTTTTTTTTTTCTTTTTTTTTTTTTTTTTTTGTTTTTTTTATAAAAAAAAAAAAAAAAGAGCAAAAGAAAATATGGAAAAAATGAGTAAAGTGCTATCAAGTTGAGACCTAACTAAACCCCAAAGAATGCATTAAGTANAGTAGTAGTAGTAGTAGTAGTAGTAGTAGTCAAAATACACAGTTTCCTTATCCTGCTTTTTCTCCTATTTTTGTGCCAGTTTCCTTTTGTTGTTCTTTTTTTTAATTTGGTTCATTTCTCTTTCTCTGTCTTCGTCTATTTCACTATCTCTTATATTTTTACTTCTCTTCGTTTTTTTTTTTATTGCATTCCCCACCCCACCCACCCCCTTCCCTTAATTTTTTTCCGTAAGAGATACAAAGAAACCAAAGAACAGAGGAAAAAAGAATAGAAAGAACTTGTTCCCTTCGTTTTCTTTATTATTATTTTTTTCTTCTATTTTTTCTTTGAGCTGACTCCCTTCCTCCTCTTCGTTTTCCTTTTTCTTTTCATTTTCTCTTCTGTCACTCACCTCCACTTTTTTTTTACATATATTTGGGCCCCTCAGCGCGGTCAAGCAGATTTGACCTCATCTCGCGGTTTAAGATGGCTCCCAAACCGAATGATGGGATAATACGGAATATACGCAGCAACGTTGAGGACCAATAGGTCTGCCGCAGACTTTGATTCAGATCTGCCATGCTGAAATTTGGATACGTCTGACGATAGCGGATGGCGGTGATGTGCATCAGCGTCGTCACAAACTGCAATACAGCTGGTGTGAGGATTTGCGCCATATCTGTGGTGGGGAGTGGCACCTGTGTCTTTCCCTCTACCGGCAGGGGCTTCGGCAACTTTGCATTTTCTGTGGGATTCCAACAGTACTGTGTGAGCCAAGTTGCCACCATTGGGGCAATGGTAAAAGCAGCGATGCATGTAAGTGTATCTCGACCGCAGAAAAGTCCCCGTGTGAGCCACGGCACAGGCTTCCTTGCAGCAGCAGCCGTCTCTGCATTCGCTGGCGGCAGGGATTTGAGGATAATACCATCCTTCCACACTGTTGTGATGGTGTTAAGAACACCGCTCATAATACCAGCCGCGAGATTACAGTACTCCGGGCTGTATCCTTTGGTTTCACAGTAACTTTTTGTCATGTTTGAGCCGATATAAGTAGATGTATAAACAACAGTGCACACGCCGTAAACCAAACTGCACTTATTTTGCGCACAAGGCAGGAAGAATCGGTGTGGACGCAGAAACAAAGTTTTGGTTCCCCTCCACAACTCGCGAAGACTACTGTCTGTTACCCCCGCTACTCGTGCCATGATACTGTAATCCACAATGGAAATAGGAATGGCCGCAGTGGCACCCACAGCAAATGCTGTGGTCAGATCTGCCATCATAACTCCAGGAGTAAAGTGGCGCGCACGATGCGGATGTTGCTTCTGTACAACATCTTCCTTCATGATTGCTTGGGCTTCCATAATTTGTTTGGTCACTTCTTCAAAACAAGTTGATGCAATGCGAAAAAAACAAATCCTTCGTACGTCACACAGGGTTTAAAGAATTGAATCATTCAAACAGGAAAAAAAAAAAAATGAATGAAAGAGAAAAAGTAGTACTACTGGTTATGTGGATAATAATGATGATTGATGGTCGTATTTCCAGGGAATTCGCAGAAAATCTGTCTTCACAATACTTTCACAGTTCCTCTCAGAATTGTTTCTTCTTTTTTTCGTTGTCCTAAATCACCGCAGAAACGGCAGACGATAGTGAGAACAAGAGCAATACACAAACTTATATATGGGAAAAAGATGAAGACCACTTATACGCAGCGATAACATAACGATATAATAGTAATAAAAATAATACAGGGGAATACCCTAACGGTACACACTAAAAAAAAAAAAAACAGCATACACACTCATATATACGAGAGAATATGAGAGATATACAACAACAAAAATAAAAAATAAAAACGAAAAGGAATAAACAAGAAAACAAAAATACTGTTCCGCTAAGTCGGGTGCTACCACCACTCCACTATTACCATTGACATTAGTACCAGCCTTACCGCAGTCCACTGTGCTGCTGCAGGGATAACGTCTTCTCCTTCTCCGCGTCAAGGGCATCAATCAGGACGCGAGACAAGTACAGACGCAACTCCTCCTCGTTTTCCCACATTGGTGTTAATTCATCGTCATCCACTCCAGAAACAAATACGTCGTCAAACTCGTCAATTTGATGTCCCGACTGCCCCACTTTCTCTTGGAGGTGTCGACGGTGATAGTGGTGATGATGACGTGTAGAACTTTTATCAATATTCGGTGGTGGAGAAAGAGGCAGCATATCCCATTTCTTTAGTGTTCTAAATACGCGCGCCCGGGCTTCTGGTGGGAGTCCATCAAAGTCTTTCTCAATAGAAAGCAAACGCTCATTACGTTTACCATAGCGGTAAAAGGGTGGGTTATTGTTGCTGCTCTTGTCCATAGCAGTTTCACCTATATGAGAAGGTGATAGCGATATGTGCTGTGAGTTACTTTTTTGCCGATGTGGCTTGTAGTTCATTGGTGTTATCTCAGGACTGCTATTATCTGGCGATGCCACCACGTCCCAACTCCCACTGTTGTTGTTGTTGTTGTTCTTGCTCTTGCTGTTAGTGCGTGTTTCTGGGATATCACTAAGCACTACTGCGAGGATGTTACGTTTGATTATATCCCCATGCCTGTTGATGCTTTTAAGTAGATGACGCTTCCGCTGATCATTTATGTGTGCCGTTTCCACAGCGGCCTCTTTTCCTCGCTGCTCCTGCGCCCGCCGCGATCGTGCGAGCCGCTCATAATATGCAGACACCGACTTTCCAAATAACATCTTCTGGTACGGTGTCATCTGCTGCACACGGGCCCATCTCTCACCGCGAATACGCCGAACCGCCGCATCACACCACACCTGCCACACCCGTCGCCGCAGTGCAGTCTCCGCCTCTGTGCAAATGAGATGAAGAGCATCACGCAACTTGATAAGACGCAACTCACGCCGCTCCGCCGCAAGAAGAATTCCACCGTCATCTGCCGCTAGTAATTCGAGTACGCCGCGGGACTTTTCCTCCTCCGCCATCAGAGCCACATTCATGCTGTTGAAATCAAATGCCTCCGGAGGGCATGTCACTACTGTTGTTGAAGCGAGTTGAACCGTGGAAGGAGCATACATCGACTCATTGAACGCCCGATGGATGTGTACATCCGCCTCGGGAACTGAATTCGCCGCCACCGCCATGACAGTTCTCGTGTCAAGAAGCGCCTCAAGGACTAACAGCGTCTCACGACTATTCACTGTCACTCCAAGTTCAGCAGCAGCATCTCGCAGAAGCTGCTGTCTACCCTTGTCAGCAACAAATGATAATAAAAAGTCTACCTCCGCAACATGAGTCTCACTGGTTCCACGCTGCGCCCCTGTAGAGGTGTCATCCTCAGTTAAAGAATGATGTCCCGTTTCAGAACGTACCTCGTTGCGAGTCAAATCATCACTAACAGAGCCATCAACAGCAGTATTCACCACTTCTGGTTCTGGTCCATATTTCTGCACAAGAGCAGCAAGCAAATCCTCCTCTTGTCCCTTGTACTTCTCCAACTGGGCATCCACCTGAGCAACCTTGTTTGGTGCATATTTTTCATAGAATGCCGTCAGTCGGTCCTTGAAAGACATGCTAACTCCAGAAGCAGACACAGTAGTATTCACTACCTCTGGTTCTGGTCCATATTTCTGCACAAGAGCAGCAAGCAAATCCTCTTCACGACCCTTGTACTTCTCCAACTGGGCATCCACCTGGGCAACCTTGTTTGGTGCATACCTTTCATAGAATGCAGTGAGACGTTCACCATACGTGCCAGGGTGAGTAACAGCTGAACCATTCATTTCAGAACCTTTACGACTTCGCACAGACGGCGTGAGAGATGTTCCAACTTCCCCCTCTGGTTCTGGTCCATATTTCTGCACAAGAGCAGCAAGCAAATCCTCCTCTTGTCCCTTGTACTTCTCCAACTGGGCATCCACCTGAGCAACCTTGTTTGGTGCATATTTTTCATAGAATGCCGTCAGTCGGTCCTTGAAAGACATGCTAACTCCAGAAGCAGACACAGTAGTATTCACTACCTCTGGTTCTGGTCCATATTTCTGCACAAGAGCAGCGAGCAAATCCTCCTCTTGTCCCTTGTACTTCTCCAACTGGGCATCCACCTGGGCAACCTTGTTTGGTGCATATTTTTCATAGAAAGTCGTTAATCTCGGCTTGTAGGTTGACATTATCTAAACCCCACCACCAATTTAAAAGAAGAACTGTTTTCTTTCTTTCTTGATTTTCTTTTTTAATATAAGCAAAAAAAAAAAAAAAATGAAAACAGTGGTACATTTATAGCAGCAAGCATAAGTGGAAGTGCGTAAAAAAATAAAACAGGATAATCGACTCTTTACGTGAGGATAGGTCACGAAACAGATATCAGAAAACCAACAGTACACTGGCTTGCGAGGTGTGTGGAGAACGACACAGGCAAGCATGAGAACAGAAGCATATATATTTGTTGCAGTGCTTGAAGCGCTATTATGATCCCTTTCCTCGTAACAGCAACATCACAACACCTACAATCATCATAAAGTTCTTTCCAAAAAATACTGAGACATCTTTCCCGTTAACTGCGAGCTCTACAAGACGCAACACTGCATATGGAAGATCGATAAAGAAAAAGGTCCAAAGAAAGTAATGCAATAACTCATCGTCCTTTGCAGGCTCGGTGATGCCAATCAAGTCCGTCCCACCCTGATTTGGTCCTTCAAAGCGACGTAAAAATTCTAGCGTGGCTTCATCTTTCAAAAAGAGTACGGCATAGTACATATTACACGTGATGTGCCCCATCACTGCAAAGAATAGAACAAGCTGCTGCACATCGCTGGTAATGTCCTGCAGTTCCAATACGGTAAAATAGAGCTCTAGCACATCCATAAAGTGTAGCACATGGGCGAACACGGCTGCCATATTGGTGGTATATGCCTTTGTCAATGATGTACCTGCATGAAGACGTGAGATAAGCACTGGAAGTTGCACAATTAATATTGTGAGCATCAGAGTCCCAAGGAGGCCATCAGGTCCTAATCGTGTGGAATTGGCCAATTTATCATTCATCTGTGGCCATAATGTTGCCAATTTTCCTGCTTGAGTCAAAATGTAGATCATAGGCCACTGTCGTACAAACAATATTCGTTGAAATGTCGTCATCATCATAGAAGCGACTATGAAATCAGGTACAATAAAAATCCAGCAAAGTCTACCGACATGAGTTACGAGGTAAGCCATGAAGAGACCTTGTTGTACTAAGTATGCCAAGAGAAGTAGGGTTTGTAGAATGTAGAATGACAACCTGGTTTCAGTCTCCTGCGTGAAAAACGACAAATGGGAAGAGAAATGGTACACAGCTATCGCAGCAGGAACAAACCAATATGAACCAATTACTGCGAATACTTCGTCCCAACCGTCTACTCCCACTATGAGTCGACTATTGTTACTTAGTCCAAGTACGAAGAGAGTGAATGCAGCGAGTGTAAAAACTAAAGAGGCAATTCGTACTATTCGCAATCGCCAATTACTGGACATCGCGGCGGAGATGGAAGTATCACGTTCCACCCATTCATTTTCACTCCCCCAATTTATCCACTCTGTGGATGGTTGACCCATTCGAGACCCTTCAATTTAAAGAATCTTCTCACGCACTGTTTCTGATACCCTTCCGAGAAGTAAATAAAGGAAAAAGTAAACGAGCAACAATATTTCTAGTAAGGTATAAAAAGATACATAAAAACTCAATCAACCATATCATCTCTATTCACCTCCTCCCCACCCCCTGCACCTGAACAAGAAAAAAACAACAAGAATAATAAACGAGGTACATACACAAACATAATCAGAAAGAAACCTTTATATTGAGACAAAGGCAAATATAATTTCAAAGATAAATAGAAAGGAAGCATACTAATAGTACATTGGGAGCAATATAGTGGTGGGTATCTTACTAAGTCCTCATGAAGGCATTCCTTTGCCTATTTAACTGGGATCGAATCAGCCGTCGCAACTCCTGCACGTGACGTCTCACCACTGCCTCTTCTGCACTGTATTTTGATACATCCGCAAGGAGTTGATCCATTGTTTGCTCGATCTCCTTCATATTTTCCTCAGCGATTTTGTCAGCCTCGAGCTTTCGCTGCACCATTCCACGGAGATCATTAATGTGGAGTTCCATCTCATGCATCTCGCGGTAATGATCCTCCTCATTTTTGTTAAACTCACGTTGCAGTCTTGAGAGATCGTCCAAGGCCCCTTGCCATTTACCAATCAGTTCCGTACGCTGATCAAGGAACTTTCCAATAGATTTACTATGACGTTCAATAAGTTCAGGGAGTTGCTGATGTTCATCTTGATGCTGATGCATTGACGCTGCCTCATCATCACTCCCAAAAAGTGCCAATTGCTCCAGAAGTAAGGCACGACACTGTGCTGTATCTTCTGAAAGCTGTCTTGCACGTTCTAAGGCGAGTGGGAGTAGCTCCTTTAATTGTACCGTTCCACCACTTACACCAGTGCCGCTGATATTATTTGTACTATAATAATCATCATATCCATCACCATTGTTAGCATTAACGCCAACGGCCGCCATAAGTGCGAAAATAGCAGGCAAACAATCATACATACTTTCGAAAGGTTCTGTCATAACAGCAGACTCTGCTGTCGTCTTCACTGAAGATTTTAAACGACTACGGACTTTTCCCAGTTCCTTTTTCAGTGCGCTAACAGTCTCGTGCAGCTGTGAAACCTCCTTCATTGCAGTCTCTGATTGGGAGCGAAAATTTGCCGCCTGGCGTTCCGCTTCATAACGGGCAACTTCCTGCTCTTGTTTTTGTTGTTGTAAGGAATCAAGGCGACGTTGCAGAGCCTTTTCGTTTTCATTGTGTACAACCTCCATATCACGCCAATTCTGCCGTTCAGACTCACGCTCCTTCTCATGGTCACGGCACATCTCATCTAGACGACGTTGCAGTAATTGAACTCTGTTTTCGAATCCTCTTTCTAGACGGGATTTTTCGGCTAAAAGATTTGCTCCATTACGGCAGACATCTCGTAGTATTAGACGCATCCAAGCCTCATCACGGGCGATAGTCTCTTTTGTCCAGGCAGAAACCTTTTGCAACCACTCACGGAGCTGTGTCACCCCTTGCACGCTATGTTCAATTCGAATGAGGTTCCAACTACAACGACGCAATTCACTACCGCTTTCGGCTAATAAACGTGCCGCTGAGACAGAGGCAACTTCCACCCCCTCTCCTGACGACCGTGTGAGGCTTGTTTCTCTACCTTTTTCATCCTTTTTCTCTTCATTGTTGTCCTTTTCCTTTTCCTTCTCATCCTCATCCTCATCCTCCCTCATCATTTTCTCCTGGCGATCTGATACATCACACCCATTAGTTTCTTTTGCTGTAGATGAATCATCTGGAAGTTTACGAACGATGCTGCGGATTCGTTCAGAAACAGCCGCTGTGGATCTTCGAATAGTTAGTGCCGCCTCCTCAAGTCCTACCATAGAGAGTCGCATATCATCTCCCATGGCTCGAAGTGACATGGACTCTACTTGCTGCTGGTCACACTTGCTACGGAGTTGATTAAACTCCAGTTGAAGAGATGCTAATTCCTGACGGGCTTGCTTAAGAGCTGCGTCAGACGCCTCTTCCTCATCCTTGGCACGCTCTATGACATTCTTGAGAGCATTCCGCTCATTTACCAAGTCATCACATTCCTTCTTTATTTGCTCCTTTTCCCTCCCCAGTGTCTGCCTCATACGGTCAAAGTCTTGTAAAAGAAAAGACTTCTGCTTTTCCACCGCGATACCCTGTTCATGTAACGCTGCATTCTCACTATGTAATCTTTTTAGAGTGTCACTAATTTTTTTTATGCGTGGAACGAGTGCAGTCGGAACAGAGTCATCTGTTTTATCGTTGCCTTCCAGAGTGGACCATATATCCTGCGTCAGCCGCAGTACCTCATGAAACTCCTGAGCTTTCTGTAGTATGCGCACAGGTAGTGCCTCCAAGGGAATTTCTCCAGTCACCTCACCCCCCATCATACAGATAGCAGCGCTGCAACAATTGGTTAATTGACGGATATTGATAAGTTTAGCACGAATATTTTGGATGGACTCCTGCATGGTAATAGGATTTGACAATACATTCTCGATATTGACATCAGTTCCTAATGATACTCTCGAGGTTTCTTGCCCTGTTCCTGCCACACATTTGTTTATCTGACGAGACGCGTTTGACAAGTCATTATCATTGCATATACTATTACCCTGACCTGGTGTGGATAAACAAAAAGAACGATTCAGAGATAATGATTCTTCATCGTAGCTACTCCCTACGCGAGGTGGCTTCGGCCTACTTGTGAGGGAGCGCCCTCGCGTTGCAGTGAGGGAGAAACTTGGGTCATTTATATGCATGATGGACTCCGCAAGTTCCCGCGCATGTTGTTTGCCTGCCTCAGACTCCTGCATTTTCACCTCAAGTTGTCGTAAGAGGTCACGTAGACGCACTGGTCCACGATGCACGGCTGAAGGGTCAAGCATCAGCCGTACCTCTGCGATAGAGTCGCCCGTTTCCTTCGCGAGCTCAACGAGGGCTTTTGCAATGGCTTGCGACTTTGCCGTGGATGGGTTGGGTGTCCCTCCGAGCTTCTCAACACTCGTCAGAACAGCACTACGAAGTACACTGACTTCTGCCGCTTGTGCGGCGAGATGTTGGCGAACCTCCTGGACGATTGGCGGTGGGTCCGTCGTGCGTGGACTGCGAGCCCCGTCGAGAAGCTCGTGGACGGGAAGCAGTAAATTTTGTTTGTGGCTCGCCAACCCCTCGGTGGGCAGAGGGGAGGCCGTTGGGGTCGGCAGGGTCGCTGTGTCAAGAGCACGACGGAGTTCCTCCAGCAGCCGCACGTTTCTCTCCCGCCCCTCCATCACAGACGAGAGACAACACACCACGTACGAGATCACATCATCGTACCCATGCACAAGCGGCAATGGCATCGGTAACGACAAACGATTAACATTGTACTCGCTGCAACTGCTATTGTTCATGCTGCCACTGACGCTGCTCGCACGGCTCTCCCGTTGTGGCTGAAGGACATCGCCACTGTTCTCCAGCATCGATTTGAGAGATGCAAACGCTTGAGCCGCCCTACGACACTCCTCCACGAGTGCTTGTACGGATTTTTTAAAAGGAACCCCATCATTGTCACGGATCACCGTAGCACCATCACCACCAACAGAGACCACCAACGCCTCAAGTGCGGCAACAACGGATTTTTGCTCCTCACGCAAACTATCTACTAGATTACCGTACTCATCCTCCAAAGACGTCCCTGCAGCATGTGACTCAGGGGTATTAGGACCCTTCAGCAAGAGACTTAGTTCATCCATCGATCGCCTTGTCACATCAAGGTCTCTTCGCAAGACAACAATTTGGTCCTGTGCCAAGTGAACAGCACGGTTCGTATCCTCCGCAACAACACTAACTACGGCCGTTTGTATATCAGAATAGTGCGTAAGCATCTTATCCAAGGAAGTTAACCCTACCTTCACATCAGCATTGCCATCTACTTCAGAAACAAATCTCTTCATTACCTCAGAACGCTCGCCCAACAAAGTAAATAACGATGAGGAAGAGAAATCACCAACTCCCAACAAATCCATGAGGTTATGAAAACTTCCGCTTTGGTTTTCAAAGCGTTCGCACTCCTTCTGCATACCACAACACAACTGCCCCAATACACTTAACATACGCTGCAACTCCACATTTAAAACAGTATCACCTCGTAAATTAACAACACCAGTCGTCAAAGAAACCCCACCTAAAGAACCATCAAACCCACTTTCACCTGAAGTTTTAGATAAACCAATTATAAGATTTCGCAAATAAACAACAGCACGATTAACCATAAGCACCAACTCATCATATCGGTCTTGCACATCAGACGCAATACCAGAAAACACACAACACCTTTCTTCAGCACAGTTTAGGATCGATTGCAGCTCCTCCACTTCAATCTGGTGTCGTTCGAG